GAAACAAGCGCAAAGGAGGCGATCAATGTTGAACAAGCATTCCAGACGATTGCCAAGAATGCTTTGCAGCAGGAGACTGACCAAGATTTGTAAGCCATTCCATACATTAGTTCATTTTTATTACCAGATTTGTCCGTGAAATTTTCGCATGTTGCGGAGCCTAATGACGCTTATTCCTCCTCTAGTTATGCTGATTATCCGGATCCAATTAAAATTGACAGCGAAGCAGCAAAATATGATGGTTGCGGGTGTTAAAGGGGGTTTTCCTTGCGGATCCCCCTTGTTGATCTGCATTATTGATGAAGTTTGTCATCCATCCACCCACCGTGAAGGTGTACAAAGAATATTTTATAATCATCACAACGTTTTGTTTTTTCATTCAAACTATCTTCGTCACTATTATCATGTGTATATTTGTGTTCACCAAAAGTTGCTTATCATATCTTTATATTTTTTACTGTATTATTGTCTTTTTTTTTTTCTTTGGGAGGTTTTTTTTGAGGTTTGCAGTATTTGGTTATTTAGGTGACATCACAATGCACAAATATTTTGTACAATTAACAATTCTAAAATACCGATTCTTCATATTCATTTTTTTTTTTTAATAAAAAATCTACTAACGAGTTTGTCGGTCAAAGAGTATTATGATTAAAATTCAGCAGTAAGTTTAAATGAGGACGATGTATTTTTGGAAAGTGTAATAAATGTCATCCAAATAAGGAAATCTTCCGGAATTTGCAAATGGCGTTTGCTGTTGCGTCTAAATAAGGTAGCATCTTATTTCGGAATATTTTTTTTTAGAAAGATCAGTTTCCAATTTTCAGATTAGATTATCCTCAACATGCGAACTACTCTTTTGGCCGTGTGTCGGGATGAATCTTTACGCGTCTCGAGAGTTCGCAAAAACGATTTTTTTTTTTACCCCCGAGGTTCACGTTTCTTCCCAGGACTTCTGATTGCTAGAAATTATGCTACCATTGATGGTGGTAGTGACTCACCCACGAGCATGGGATATGAGAGTATCGAAAACCTGGGCGTTATTGGTGGGTTTCGGTTTCGGTTTGACCACTTCTCGATAACAATTCTCCATCAGTTGATTCGATCCTTTTCCCATCACATCAACAAGATCCTTATTGCTCTCCCAGAAAATGGCCTTCGTTCTTTTCAAGGGATTTCTTCCGCACGCTGAGAGGATATTTACGTAACAAAGGAAAAAATCTACAACAGTAGGTTTCCTCCTATCGATCAGAATGTCGATCACCGTTGAAACGCGAAAATCACCTTGTTTTTTTTTTTTCTCTCTCTGTCTCTCATCAGTCGTGTGCGATTTATGTCCGCCAAGGAGGGCGATTTAATAGGGAAGATGGAAGCTCTGGAGATGTACACCGAGATGAACAAACAATTCGCTTTGTAAGGTTTCACAATCGTTTATGATCGTTGTTTCGATCTATCCAACTTTTGCGATTTAAAGACCGTTGATTCATATAATCAGGGGAAACCTGAAAGCGTTGCGCAATCTCGTCAGTGATCCGATGTACTATGTATGTTCCTTTTCGTTTAATGTGCATGCGTCTTTGTTTTTTATCTGTTCCCTTTTTAGAAAGAAAATTTTTTTCTTCCATTATGATTACAACGTGGCGTAAAAAAGAAACTCAAGTTTGATCTGAAAAATCATCGAGAGTACGACGGTAAAATTTATTGGCAAACTCATGGTGATGCAAAGAAGCCGAAGTACGAATGCATTCGTTACAATAAAGGAGAGGAATTCTCTGTCGTACAATCAATATTGAAACTACACACAAAACAAGTAAGTCACCTTGTTCCATCTCTTTCACCGAAATTTAACATCTCCATCTTAACTAACAGAATTCACTAATCAAACACCTAGAGCCTTGCAATCTTTAATCGGAATGGAAAATTAATTGGCGGAAATCCATCAAAAGTTTATGATGTAATCGAATATGTAGCGTTCCAACGCAGAATGATTGATAAGAAGAAAGGCGAAAGTGAGGGGTGGAAAATAAATGGTTATTATAGTCGAGATTTGCCAAAATTCGCTGCAAATTCACACACGTCCATTGAGGCGCGGCAGTAATTTGATTGCCTTTACGGATAAAAATATTCAATAATTAAAAATTTATTAATATAATGTCCAAAAATTTCAATGTTAATGATTATGCATATCCAATAGTTTTCGTTTCCTTTGCTACTCCTATATCAACAGAATGCATTCCCTTCACTCCCCCCCGGCGGAATAATCCTTGCGATAATCGCTTCCATAATCGTCAAACATGCCATTCTGCAAAATATTCTTTCGAGGGGTAGCGCCTTGACGTCGATAAAACTCTTTGGGAATTCTCCCTCCATTCCTAGCCTTCAAATTGGCGAGTTGCCTTCTCAGTTTTGCCACGTGTCTTTTTTTCTTTAATTCGTTTAATGCTACTTCATCGTTACTCGGGGCGGTCAACACCCCTATAATCACCTCCGAGAACCATCCCGCTGTGCCTCCAACACAAATTCCAAAAAATGCTGCGGCACTAAAGAATGCGAGCAATGGAGAAAATAATGATAATACACTCCATACATAAACTGTGGGCTGGTACACAAACATCATGTAAAGTTTATAAATTGGCATATAGAGCAAATAGTACATAATCGTATATATATAGTGAAAAAGGTAACTTAGAACTTCAAAAATAAAGTAGAATACGACCATTACGATTTGGTCGTTGGCATGATCATTTTTAGTTGAAGTGTTGCCTTCAGGAGGGTAAGGAGCGTCGTCGTTAGCTTGCGGTGATGCCTCACAGGCTCTGAACGGGATTATTATTATACAACTGAGGGCCACCGTTAAGACCACTAGGTAAAAAGTTTGGTTTACCCTGGAAGCTGACATTAGCTATTTACATAAAGGTACGCGCGAGGTTGATAGTAAAAGTGTTCGAGTGTCATCCGTCATTTGGGGAAATACGTGGGGTCATTTTTAATGATTCTGTTTAAAAATCATATGCAAATGATTTACGTAATTCGGTGGCAAAAAATCATTCCTTATCTGAAGCTTTTTTCTTTCGCACCAGATTGGTGGGTATACGTAATTATTTTATTTTATTGGAAACATGCAACACATGATAATTGAGAGATTCTGAAAATAATAATAAAAAAAAAAAAAAAAAAAATTAAACGAGTCGAACTAATGTGTCATTAATTACTGTTTTAATTACTGTTGCCAATTTCCTTATATAATTAATTCATTGAGACTGTGGTAACGGGTGGCTTGATTAGTTGGACAATCGAGGCTCGAGCTGTTCGAATGGAACATCTCCGGTTGAGGGGTCAATAGGAAATATGAGAAATTGGGAAAAGGTGTTTCAATCTTTCCCATCGGAATCGTTTAATTCATTACTACTATTTATCAATGATGTGTCTATGCCCTTTGCTCTTAGCTTATCCTCCTTAAGTCTCAAATATTCTTCTTCTGAAATCTTCCGTACTGGCGACCAACTTTTTGCCGCAAGCCAATCGAGCAACCCGGTCTTGTCCTTATCGACGTTTTCCGGGAAATCCGAGGTACCTCTGCCGCTGCCTTGCGATTCTGTTTTACCTCGACTTGTTCCAAGAATCAACCGCCGTCGATAATCGCGCAAGCTAGTATATAGGTGTTGTCCGGTCCCACATAAAAGCGTAAAAACAACGAAACCCGGGATGATGCTCCGACGACCGCCTGGTTGAGAAAAGAGTAAAATCAAGGGATTCCTCCATCAAAGACCCATGTGAATGTGTAAATGGTAAACACATACCTAATAACGCGAACCACACTCCACCAGTTATCCCACCGGCCAAGGCGCTACTGATCAATTCTTCGTGATCTCTTGTTATTCTCGATGTCGGTCTGTGACTTCTTCTTTGATACAATAAACAGGCTTCTCTGATGTCTTCAATAATTCACATTTTAGCTCAACTTCTTTTAAACCCGCGTGGAAGACAAGGGTGTTTTCATCATACATACATAAAAATGTACATCCAGCTACTCCATAATTGGTCCCCGCAACGAAGGTGCTTCTGAGCAAAGGTTTGTTATTAAGAAAACCGTTCATCACTCCAAAGACCGCTCCGGCGCTTGCTTAATTAATGCCAGTTATTCCATAAAAACGAAATTCGAGCGGGTAATCAATTAGTCTTACACTAGTTACATTAAATCGTTGTCGACGAACAAGAAAATAATGTAAAACCAGTAAAGATCGTGCCATTGAAAATTTTCTTGTGTGATTCAGCATCCATCTTTTTTTTTAGCTGGTGAATGGATAAAAAGTGCGTGATGCGTGCTGTGCGTAATTGTAAAATCATAAGATCGGTGTAACCTGATACACAGTATTTGAGTTCCGAATCGCAAAAAAAAACTTCACTTGAAAGAAACTCTGAAAATGTCTACGCGCCCGGCGACAGAGGAAACTAAAGTTTCTACCGCGGACGTACTTGAGACGAACCCCAGAGGAATTCCAAAAGTACAATTTGTGGTAAGTATATCTGATCCTTCTTTCCTCGGAAACACGTTTTTATTTTCAAAATCCTGCATTTAACAATACTCAATAATTTAATGATCTTTTTTTTTCTTTTTTACCAGGCAAATGTTGAAGAATATATCGCAAAATCGTCGTCGCCGGTGGAGACTACACTAGGGAAATTCCAGGAAACTATTGCGTAAGCATCGGTGACTGAACATTAAAAAAAAGTCTCCCCGTTATTTATCAATGAACTAATGCCAATGAATGACCTACTTGTCATGTTTCTATATAATTAGTAAGTACAAATTTATGGAGATTAACTTTATGAACCGTAAAAAGGGACTCGAGATGAAAATACCCGATATCAGAAAAACCCTGACCGTCGTGGAGTTCTTGACATCAAGACAAGTAAGACGATGCAATGGAATTATATTATTTGCAAAAAAAGCTTCTCATTCGGCAACCCTTCAATAGGATTCCGATGAACCAATAGAAACCACCTTTGAGTTGAGCGATACGTTATGGGCTGCCGCCAAAATTAAATCGACAAAAACCATTTACTTGTGGCTTGGGGTGAATTCGAGCAATTGTTTTCTTTTTTCAATAGTGTCAATGAAGTTAATCTTGTTGATATCAAGGTGCTCCCGGTAACTGTTAACCCCCGTAATTTAATTCGCACAGGCCAATGTAATGCTCGAGTATACATTGCAAGAGGCAAGTGAACTTTTGGAGAGTAAGTTGACCACCGCCCAAAATTCCCTAAATAATGTGTTGGAAGACCTGGAATTTCTCAGAGAGCAAATCACTACGATGGAAGTTAGTATCCTTCAATACTTTAGTAAAAAACATCAGCGGATTTTCCTCGCGTGTCAGGGTTGTTATTCCTTAATTCACTTGGTTGTGCAGATACTGCGCGCGTTTATAATTGGGATGTCAAACAGCGGAGACTTTCATCAAAGACTGGTCAAGAAACGGAAAAGAGTTGATAGTGAAGATGCAATGATCACGTGAACCTACTGCTGGTTCGAATCGAATTACTATCAGTTACTACTCTACTTTATATATTATTATTTATTATCATTTGTATTACTAAACTAATAAATTTGGTGGTGATATTATCCCACAGATATTATTACATCACTAGGTTTACGCGCTGGCGAATGTCATCGAGAGATTCTGGTGGGGGATTTCTCTTGTATGTCGCTATAAATTAGCATAAATTATGTCAATTCATCTGTGCTGATGTATTCATCGTCTGTAATATTATAAATTATCAATACCTGATGGATTATAACCGTCTCTCTGATATGAAACACTATTAAAATTGTCTCTTTGCATTATCGGAGCAGGCGGTGGAGGCATGTGCCTGCTTTTTACTTGCCGAATCTGGGTGGAATTATTGATTGAATATTGTGTAATCAAAATAACCCATCTTGGACAACTAGAATGAAATGGTCACCTTCAAAGCTTCTTTCACGAATTCGAAGGGTATTGCACCCAAAGTACCGTCATAGCTGATTACGGAAAAAAATTTTATATATAAACGCGATTTTTCCTTTTCCTACAATTTTCTCATCTCAATAGTAACCCCGCTATTTATACTGACCGATTTTTCTTGATGTGCAAATATCGTTCTTCTCCCTCTTCGGTTTCCAATTTTTGGAGTATGATGACGTTGTCCGCTTCCTGTGTAACTTTTGCAGAACCAAATATCGAGTTCATGTCTAGCAACTCTCTAGAATCTTTCTTCGGATGCACCACCAGAGTGATGTGAACATTTCGCTCGGTGGCGAGTTTACGAAATGAAGATATTGCACGCTCTTGTATTTCAAATCGATCTAAAAATCTTCCTTGATCTGCGGTCATGAATTGTAAATTATCTATTATTATGTGTTGTACATCAAAGGCGTGGATCGCGTGATTCATAGCATCGATTACGGTCGAGACTTCAGTGCTACCGAAAAACTTTAGAAAATACATCGGTAGCTACACCGAGAAATTTATCATCGTGTTAATTAACCAGCCCAAAAGAAATTTTCACAAGTCATCCTTGAATGTCACCTGTTGAAATTTTACCGCCCATTCATTGAACTCATGTGGGTACTTCGACAAGTCCTTCTCGGCATACTGCGTTAACATCTTCTTTGCCAAACGTACATTGGGTATCTCAAAGCTCCCCCACAAAGTGCTCACCCCTGATTTACAATAATCGAGCGAAAGTTGACTGAGGATTGTCGTCTTTCCTGTGCCAGTGGGTCCCGTGAATACCGTCAGTTCGCCCAGCCGATGCCCTTTCATAACCTTATTCAAAGCCGGCAGATCCTTGGACAAAACTCCGCTAACTTGGTCCGGATTGGAAATTTCTCGATATACTGCATCTTTGATGCTGTCAAAATTGAGAATCTGTTCGTGCTGCAATGGCTTTGCTTGCTCAAGAATCTCTTTCAGATTCCTCCCCTGCTTTAAAGCTTCGTGCGCATTAATCGGTCCAGTGAAATTATTGCATCTCGTTTTCACGATGAGACAGCGATCGATTCCCAACTTCTCAACAAATTTTTCTGCTGAATCCTGACCGTTAACATCATCATCAAGCCAAACATATATTCGGAAAAACCTCTCTAATAGGGGAAGAACTTGGATCGGTAGTTGATTTACCAAATTGGGAAGGCAAGTAGCGGGTATACCCGTTTCCTGGTAAGCTGCCATCGCATCGTACTCACTTCCCGTTATTATGATGGTATCATTTTCCAATCCAACCAAATGATATCCAAAAAGACCCGGGCAAAATGTGGGCGGATCGAATGCGACCAGTTCACCACTTTTGACAGAACAGGCTTTGACTCGTGCAATTCTTGATTCCTGAATATCATCTGGCCCCGCTTTGTCAAATTCTGGAAACGTCCGTGGAAACGTTATGCACAATTCCCCTTCGGTGGAAGATTTGGATCTTTTCGTACCATCATACCCAGAATTCGACACCGATGGATTGGTGTTACGATATTTCGCGACACCTACTTTGTAGGCGTTAAGCGTTGTTAACGTCAAGCCATAATCGTTAGTCAATTTGCCTAATATCTGCTTCTCATTCCGTAGATTCTCTGAAAATTGTTCAATTTCCTCTTCTGTTCTGGAAAAGTTTAATCGAGTCTCAAATCCTAACTGCGTTGTGTTGACTATTTGAAAATTGCTAGTATTGGACACTAACTTCACGTAATCGCTCCATGAACCTGTTATCATACATTTACTGCACCTATACGTGCCCAATTCTACATTCATTCGAACCGAATATTTGGCTGTTTTTCTTGAGCAGGCCGGACCATTAACTAGCAACTCATAGTCATTATCACTTTTCTTGGGAAATTTAAAATTTTTAGAGAATCTACGGAATGAGAAGCAGAAAAATTTGTTGAGAAGTTGGGAATCGATCGCTGTCTCATCGTGAAAACGAGATG